CCCCATTACCTGTAAAGCGCTTTGAGTGGAGTGTCCAGAAAAGCGCTATATAAGTGTAAGCAATTATTATTATTAATTATTAAATCTGAATCCCACCTCACTGGAACTGCAAACCACCGCCAGAGATGACGCACAGATTGTTTCCCAGAATACAATTCCGCCACCTACTGGCCATGCTTGGTATTGCACACTTGCAGGAGTCAGGGAATTGCAAGGCCTTGCCTGGGGTAATTTAATTGCCCCTCTATTACCCCTGTGGGAACCTCATCTTGCGCATCAAGACAAATGATCAAGAGCTCATAAGCGTATAACATACACAGCAATAATATCATCCATCAACACTTCAATACCATGATACACAATAACATTTAACAACATTGCTCAGTCAGAATTGATCGCTTTTAACCTGAGCGATAATCGTCAGTTTATAAAGACAAATAAACTCAAGTATGTTTCGCGTAATTTATTAATGTTAATTGGGAGAGTACGGCTCTCTTGTCCTGAATGGATGTAGGGCGAACACACTGTTCAGATTGTCATTGCGAAGGGTGATTAAAAAGTGTAGTTAAAAAGTGGACTTAAATCACACAGTGACTTTATAAACTGATGGTTTAAAATTCTCTGGAAAATTCTCTCCTCTGCATTTTTCCCAACTCCTGTGAGCTGTGAGTCTTCTGTACAGTTAGATTGGAGGTGGGATACAGGTTTAGTAGCAGATGTCTCTTCCCACAATGCTGAAATGGCTTACTTCTGTTTCTCTGGCTCTCATGCCCATACTGGTTGGGACAATTTTCATTTCTGGAACCACTGTAACCAATCAAATCAATCGAGGGCCTTAGCTAGATTGTGATTCCTCGTGATCATTTTCTGTCAAACAATTTCATCTTAACCCTCTGAGGTTTTTCTCCAGTGTTTACCGGGGAGCCTTGAATTCCAACATAAATGAATAAAAAAGCTTTGATGCTTTTTAGGAAAGGTTCGGAAGGCTGTCTGAATATATTTTGCTCTGTATTTTGATTCTAAGAGATTTTTAAAACCGTTAGTAGAACAGTCTAAAGCAGGACTCTTGTTGTTGAATGCCTTAATAATTCAGTACATTGTATAGATCTTTCTAAATCATTCATTTTTGAGGACTTGAATATCTTTTAAGTTATTAATCAAGTCTGCATGTCCTTAGAATGAAAAAAAAAAAGAATAAATGTAATCCAAACAGCTTGGGGCAGCTACTAACCACCATTAAAAATGAATTTAACGAAAGCCTGCTAACATATACCTGTTGCTTTGTTTTGGTTTTTCTAAAATGTTAATAGAAAGGCGTTCTTCCCTTTTGGGTAAGATTTTGTATTGTTATAAACAGTTTTTGAGTGCACATACAGTATATATATATAGTATACGTTTAAACGTATAGTTTAATGTGTGCACGTGTGGTCATGCGTGTGAAGAGCGGTTGAGTTGAGCCTCGCACTCTTACGAAGTGTCTATTTAAGTCGGACTGATGTCATACCTGAGACGGAAGTTTGCCTACAGACGCAGTAAGAGCCAGCGCTTAGACTTGTAGCTTTGCTTGCGGTTTCCTCTAAAGCTCCGAGTCTATTTTTTACCCCCTGTTCTTGCCTGGTGAGGTCTAGGGTGACTCTAATTGGCGCCATGTGCAGCTCAAGATGGGTTCACTGTGAAACGACGGTGTTCTGTTCATTAATTTTGGTCATGGTTTCAGTTCGAGAGAGGGCCCCGTCACTGCGCCGTCATTATCTCGTTGCGTCTTTCCTTCCAGCTCTTTAAAAGGTGTTTTTTTTTTCACGGCAGAGGAATGTAATAAACATCTGCAAATGGAAGCGCACGAAGATACACAAGCATCGGAACCATGCCAAAAGAGCGTTAAGATACTAACGTGTGAAACGGGTGGTACAGACTGTTGATCAATAAATACACGCTTGTGCAAAATCACTTCTGTATGAAAACAGTATTATCGCACTTCAGCTTCATCGTTCTGTAATAGAATTAAATACCATCATTGCACAAGAGGATATCATGAAATATACGAATCTATTCTACTGTCCTTGTACATTGATTCCTTGGACGACAAACGCATGCAAACAAAAATACACTTACACCCATTTATAAGGGTGTTTTACTGAAGCCACTCGCTACTTCGCTATAAGTTATAACAGCGGTGTCTCACTTGAGATATGAACCCACAACATACCGGTTTCAAGAACCAGAGTAGCAAAGCAGACAGACGACAAACGCTTTAAGAAAGAATGTGAAATTCTACAGTAATATAACGGTAAACGTATGAGCACATTGTGATCCGTTAACATCTTAACACATGCCCATATGGGTAGATTCTACCAGACAGTTAACAGAGGACATTTTTATTTACAAATATGCGCTTCGGGTGACTACACGACACACTTATGCCAAATGGAGAAATGCCAACAGTACCTACTGCACAAAGTCGGGAAGTTTTTCATTTTCGTTTCCAACATCACAAAATCATATTAAACAACAACTCTCACCTGCTTATTCGGATCCGCTTTTTGGATGTTTGTTCAGAAACCCCGATCCAGTTTTCCCAGATTCGCTCTGTTTGACTTCTGGCTTTTCCATCACCGAGTAAAAGGGAACTAAGCCCTTTTTTCTATCGCGGGGATTTTTTTGTCAGAACCGAGAGTGTTTAAGGAACTTGAGTGAAGTCTCATTTCCTCATGTAGCAAGATCAGTTAACAGACACCGAACGCGGTACAGTATGTGCGCGTTTTCAGAACAGAGTGTGTGTTTCACGG